CAGGCCAAGTTCAGAGGAAGTGTATTACTAGAAGGTCCTGTACCTGTGATTGCTCAGCCATGAGTCTAGCCTCGGGTCCACAGCAATACAAAGGGGGCTTGGGCTCTCACCAAGACTCAGCACAGCTTTCCCTAGGTTTCATAATTGCAAGAAATTGCTAAGGAGTACATAATTTGATCAAACAGATTTTAACAAAAATTGCTGTTGAAATGGTGCTGAAAAGCTTGAAGGAGACAGGAAAGATAGGCTAGCAGGTCAGTCAGGTCCATGCCAACACTGACAGTGAACATTGGTTGCTTCTCTTAGAAATTCAGCCACACATTTCCAGACCCTTCATGGGAGCTGTGTTGTCTACCACTATCAACAATAAGGATTCCAAGTGGACTTTGCACTTTTCATTATTGATTTCCTGTAACTTGAGGGCAGGGGCCTGATTGGAAGAGGCCATGTGTCTTTTCACTGTGGGATAGCTACAAAGAAGTCTGGGATTCTCCATCTATGTAATGGGAGCCAGGTTCTGCCTCAATTGACATAGGTAGGCTATAAGGCCAGGCCCCTGAAACCACCACAAGTTACTTCCTCCAATCTTTTCTTTCCTTTCTAGAGAAAATTAAAACATTGGGCTTAAGACTAGTCTTCAGGAAGTTTGAATAAATTAAAATGAAGCAGCAAGTAGAACTCTGACTTTTGAGTACAAATGTGGATCTAACTCTATGCATCTGTCCTCTGCTTGTCCCCCGTGTAGATCAATACTTCAGGTGAAGCTGTAAAGGTGAATATTGGTCTGCAGTCATTTGATAAGGGCAGAGCCCTGTGATGATCCAAGAACAGGTGGCGAGAAGCATGAAAGACAAGTAGAAGCACAATAACATGCATGGTCAGGCAGAGTTTCAGGCTCAGCCTGATGGTGCTAGGTGCTCTGGAGAATCACTTACCCCTTCTCCTTGGCAGGAAGGGCTTTTCCACATCTGCACTGTCACACAGGAACCAATAGTGACCTCTGGTAAATGATCTCCAAGCCACTACTGTCACTGAGATCTTGCCATGCAGTGCCCTGATGGCAAATCTCCAAGGCTGCTACAAGTGCAGTTGATAGAGTCAAAGCTGGCACAAAGCACACAGCAGCTGTGAGAGAGGTCCCAGGAATTACCATGGGACATTTCCACATTCAGTCTGTTGCACCAGAGCACTTTGACTCTTCTGACTCACTACCATCACCAGATGGTCCACCATTGGAATACAGTGTAAGTCCGCTTCCACTAGCTTGTCCCGCAAGGATCCCACTCCAGCCACATAGTCACACAAAGAACTATGGACACCAATGCCATAAGTCTAGTTTCTTTTCTATTAAGTTTGAGGTTGAATCATTAAAAATTACATCCACTTTCAGCAGTTAACTAAATAATTTAAAGACATGAGAATATTTTTTAATGACAAAACTGTATGTAAAATGCAGGCATGGTGGTACAGGCCCCAAACCCCTACACTTAAAAGGTAGAAGGGTCACGAGATTGAGGCCAGGCTGAGCTACATAGGGAGACTCTATCTCAAAAAACAAAGCCTGGGGATGTAGCTCAATGGCAGAGTTCTTGCCTGGCATGCATGTGGCTCAGGGTTGAAACCTCACCACTGTTTGGAAAAATAAGAAAGAAAAACAAAGACTGTATTTAGGCTATTAAAAGAATATTTAAAAATATGTTCTATACATATTTTCTTACTCAACTAAAGTTTTCTGAGTACACTAAATGCTTTCCTGAGAACTTGAGACCATAACCACACACCAATGTTGTTTAGTATTATCAAAGGACAATACTTCTTTATAGACAACACACTTAGAGCCTATAAAGAAACAAGAAGGTACTGCATCTTGGACTCACAGTCCTATTATTTCTATTTCTGTACTTGTTCATCCTTGAAGTGGTTTCTAACATTTTCTGGCATCTCCACACCCTGCACTGTCAACACATGCTGGTAGTGGTATATTCCTTTCTAGTTAGCCTCAAGCTTATGTTCTAAGATCTATGATAAATTTCTAATCTGTCTTTTTTTTGAGACAGGGTCTTGCTATTTTCTCTGTGGTCTAGAACGGCTTGGAGCTTTGCTCTGTATCCAAGAATTGACTTAAACTCATCCTTCCAAATGGTGGCATATACCACAACTCTGGATACTCCTACTCTGTCTTTGAATTAGAAGTTGCCCCTACTTGAGCAAGGGACAACCTGATGGATAAACTGCATCATTAGCAATGCATGACATTCCTGCTGCTTCTCACCTCTGCTCAGACTTCTTTGCCTTCTCCTGGGTTATGCTTCAATCTGAAGCTTTAGACTTGAGCATTGAGTTCTAGATATGAGGATGCTGATACCAGATGTAATTTTTATACTGAGAACTACAGTAAATGCCCAAGACCTAGATCTTCCCCAAGTTGACAAAAACTTATTATTTAGGACAATAAATTGGATGGGAAAATAAGGATATTTATTCTATAATGTGATAAATGAAAAAGAGTCAGGAAAGGTCATAAATCCACAGTTCAGCATACTAAAATAAAGCTCATCTGTCAACTTTTAAAAATAAAAATGAGTTTTATGAGGGCTTCTGGGGATTCAGATAACAATATATTTTCAGTGTCTAAGTTCAAATTTCATCTCCTGACAGACAAATAGATGAAAAATCAAGGAAGATCTTGCTAAACTTTAAAATTCAGCTTCTTCATTCAACCAATATGACAGATCTGTCAGCTGGATCATCTGCCATGAATCCAGTAGATTTGTTTTTTTATGTGTTTCTTTGTTTAGCACTGAGTGAAGCATTTACTTGACAAGAATTGAGGTACCTGTAGGATATGTCCCCAGCAGTATGAGACTGGTCTATGTCATCACAGTCCAATGAAATATGGACAGAAACATTATCACAGGGTATTGTGGGTTTCTTAAATACAGGACTTACCTCCAAAGTGTGTTACTGTTTTCCTCTGATGAAGCAGACACAAAATAAAACAAAGCAAAACCACAGCCACTTCTGGATTTACTACAAAATATTTCCTCTGGGTGGCCTTCATATATCTCATTCTACATATTTCACTAAAGTCTATTTTTCCTGATTTACTATCAGGTTTCCCTCTGGTTTTAACATTGACATGTTACAACACTTTAAATCATGGTTTTTGAAACACATTAGGCCGGTTCAGCCCATTAATGGAACTACATCATGCTTCTTACTCTTTTGAGATGATCTTCCTGGGCAACATAATCATCCTTAGATGGGAGATTTATAATGATTCTATCACTAGAGTATGAAGGACAAGAAAACACACAAGAATACCTCATTTTTTTGTAGCTTCTTAGTATGTTTTGCAGATACTGCATTTTTTACCAATGGAAAGTTTGAGGTAACTGGTGGAGGTTGCAAGGGCCTAGCATTACAGCCCTCCTGTGTCAGTTGTGGCAGAATCTGGCTCCTAATACATAAGAGTGGAATTCCAACCTTCTTTGTAACTATCCAATAGTCACAAGCCACACTGGCTGTGCCAATCAGGCACCTGCCCTCAAGCTCTAGGAAATCTGTAATGTGAATTGGAAAGTCAACTTGGACACCATTTTGTTGATGGTAGTACACAGGACACCTCCCATGAAGGGTCTGGAAATCTGTAGTTGAGTTTCTAAGAGAAAAACCCAACGTTCAGAGTGGGAAAGGCTGGACTCATGGCTGGGCAGTCATAGGTACAGGGTCTTATAGTAACACAATTGCTCTGAACTTGTGTGCTTATTTATCTGAGTGATGCTGTCAGTTTATAAGAAATGCCAAGGATCTAGTCATGCCTTGATCTTTGAGTGATTACTTAGTTCCTGGGCAAGGGGGAGTCAAGCCCATGGACAACTCAGCAATCAGACAAGTGTTACATACAAGTAGCTGGTTGTTCCCTCTGCCAGGAGCTGTTTCTGTATCTAGGAAGAAACTCTTGACCTTGTAGGTCCCAATGGGACTTTCTAACCAGTGTCTAGCAGTACACATCTGCCTCTCCTGCCTGAAATGCTCCAAATGAGCACAGAATTCCAGACTTAGTACATATATACAAAAGAATATAAACTATCAACTTGAGAATTATTCCTATATGTTGAAATGACATTTGATATATTAGGTTAAATAAAACATTAGTAATATTCTTCCACATGTACCTTTTGCTTTTTAATTGTGTCTACTGGAAGATTGAAAATTATACATGGGCAGTGGCTGCAATGTCAAGTCCAGAGCTTAATAACTGTGCTCCACCTCCAGGTCCTACTTGTTCCCATGAAAGATTTCTTTAATCAATGATAAGTCCTGAAAAAATAATGGTTTTGTTCTTTTGAAAAATAAAGTTAATTCACTTCTGTTTGCCAAAAAGGTCTTCAGAAAAGGGTATGGCCTGGGTCTCCCCCAAAGTTATTCTGCAGTTATACCTGTGAAGAGGATTCCTGCAACTTGAACCAGAGTTCACAGATGCCTGTGACCTCCAAGGACCACAGGAAGATTAATTTCTCTTTTACCCTTTCCTGCAGACATAGTGGTACCTGGCTTTTCAGGTCCAGATGAAGGTAATGTACACATTTGCAGAGACCAGGTTGTGCCAAGCTTGCAAAGATCTGACCTATGGAGAGAGGCTGAGCTAGTGGAGCAGAAAGGGAGAGAGAGAAATATGAAGGAGGAAAAGTTAGGACTGAGGAGAGGAGGGCCCAAAGTCTGCAGAATAGAAGGATCTGAAAGGACTGGTTAGGGGATGGGAGTGTGCCAAGGGAAAGAGTACACTGGAGTGGTGTAGGGAAGCCACCAGGTATTTAATACCCAGAAGGATAAAGGCAGGATTGTACTGGATGTGCTGGATTAGGTCTCTGCCCTGGTGCAGCTCCAGCTCTAACTCCAGCCCTGCCTCCCTGTCAGTGTGGTCTGGATCTTGTGACTCCAGCTGGTCATCTTGGCCATAGTCCTGGCCATGAGCCCTGTGCCAACTCAGGCTGTATATGGACAGCTTTGAGGAGGCCGACCTCAATGACAAGGAGGTGCAACAGGTGCTGAACTTCATCTTAAAATTTTGCAGTGACGAGAACGATGACCTGTACAGACCTGAGCAGTGTGAGTGTGCATGCCAATAGGCAATGTGAGCATACCCCAGGGGCCTGATGGGGGTGGATTTCCCCTGTGGCATTTCTCAGTCTTTATCTCACCCTCACTCCTCCCCCTGGGAAACCACCCTGTCCTCCCTCCAGAAAACACTGGGTTTGCCTTGAAGAATATGATCTGATGTGGATTGGAGGGTACAAGACATGAACATAACCATGTTTCTCACACAGCCATGCCCTTGGAAATTTTCTGTCACTGCGATCCTTAGCAATCCTGGCTTAGGGTCTGTCCACACTGGTATTTTCTGGAATCAGTACAGGCACAGCAGGTGGGCATCTGGCTCCTTAGGCTGTTTCCAAGAACAAGCAGACCAGAGGCAACGTCAGGCTTCTGACTCATGTGTCACTGTAAACTATTAACTAAATGTCCACACAGGAGAGAGAGAGATTTCACGTAAGGTTGCCTTCACTAAGTGATCTTTCAGCACATTTTCCTTTTAAGTTCTTATTATGACACAAGTTCAGGGTTACAGAGCAGCTGCAGCACTAGTCCTAAGCACCTCTGTAACTCCTTCACCTTATCCCTCCAGTGTTCATTGCTGGATATATCTACTCATTCTTCCTCTCCCCATGCACATGTGAATATGGATCTGTATGGATTAGTTTTTTGAATGTTTTGAGAGTAACACTTTTGTGTACATATCATGCAAATGAGCACATTCCCCCTACACACCCAAATTCCATTTCACACACACAATTATATCACCACAGACTCGCTGAATTTGCTGGCTTTCACACATGGACACTCTTCATGGGCTGCAGTCACCAATTTTTTCCTGATTAGATGTTGGATTAAGAATACTTAATGTCCATGTTGTGCATGAATGTGAGAAGGTTTGAGCTCTGGGCCACTTACACCAATTGAGAAAGAAGTCTATAGACAAGGAGGGCAGCCAGTTACATCATGTGAATCTCTACACCAGCATAGCTTGACCTAATTCCTTCTTCTGATCATCTTGGCTATGGGAAGCTGTAATCCAACTTTTCTGCCAAGCCAAGGTGGGTTTTTAGCACCCTGTTCTCCCCTGTCCTCCATGATAGAGAGGACACAGAAACTCATCTCAGACCCACAGTCCCATGATGTTTCTTGACTGTTCATAATAATATTATTCCAAATAAAAAACTTCAAATATCCATCAATAATTTCACAAAAAAACAGAATGTAGAATACCCACACAATAAAATGTTACAGGGTAATTTAATAAAGTATGTACAGATAAATTGCAGATATTTTCCTTCACCACCAACATAATGCAAATATCATACTAAAAGAATATTCTGGTTTCCAATTGCTTACAAAAGTTATGTTCCAATTCTAATGTAGCCTATGAAGTGCACAAAATGGTTTCCTCAAAACAATACAAAACTTGAATTTAAGATACTTTATTGCTAAAAATTTCTGTTTCATCAGAATTTTTGGAGAGTTGTAACTGTTTACACACTGAGGGTCTTGCCTGGAGGTTAGTGGCTCTTGACTGATTAGGGTGATGGTTGTTAAAGGTTGGAATGGCTGTGGCAATTCCCTAAAATGGGCAACAATGACACTTGTCCCATTGATTGATTTGCCTTCACTGGAAGTTTCCTCTATAGCATGGGATGCCATTTGGTACCATTTTACCCACAGTGAAATGTCCTTCAAATTTGGAGTCAGTTGTCTCAAACTCTGTTGTTGCTTTACCAGCTAAGTTTATGGAACATCTCATCCTCTGTTGTCTGTTTTCCTAACAGTGTTCACAGGAGAAAAATTTTGTAGTAAATCCAGAAGTAGCTATGTTTTTTTTTGTTGTTGTTGTTGTTGTTTTATTTTGTCTCTGCTTCATCAGATAAAAACAAGGCCATACTTTGGTGGTTAAGACCTGTATTCAGGAAACCCACATTATTCTGTGATGATGTTTCTGGCAATAGCTTATTGGAGTATTATGACATAGGCCAGCATCAGACTGCTGGTCACACATTCTGGCTAGGCCTCAATTCTTGTTAAGTAAGGGCTTCAGTCAGAACTAAACAAACAAATCTGCTAGGTACAGGGCAGATGATTCAGCTGACAGGTCTGTCATATTGACCAAATGAAGGAGCTTAAATTTGAAGTTAAACATTATTCTTCCTTGCTTTTGTATCTATTTTGTTCTCAGGTAGTGGAATTTGAACTTAGACACTGAAAATATATTGTTGTGTGAAGCCACAGAGACCCTTATAAAAGTCACTTTTAGTTTTAAAACTTGACACATGAGGTGTGTTTATAATATGTTGAACTGTGGAATTATGGCCTTTCCTGTTTCTTTTTCCTTTATCACAATATAGAATAAATATCTTTTTTCCCACCAAATTTATTGTCCTCAATAACAAGATCTTGTTATCTGAGGGAAGATTTAGATCTTGGGCCTTAACAGCAGTTCTCAGTATAAAAATTACATCTGGTATCAGCATCCTCATGTCTAAAACTTGGTTTTCAAGTCTAACACTTCAGATTGAAGCATAAACCGGATTAAGGAGGAAGCAGACTTGAATGTCATGCATTTCTGATGATGCAGTTTACCCATCAAGTTGTACTTTGCTCAGGTTGAAGCAACTTCTAATCAAAGACAGACTGGAAGTACCAAGCATGGTGGTACATATCTGTAACACAAGCACATGGAAGGATGAGTTACAGGCCATTCTGGGAAACACAGTAAACTCCAGGCCAGTCTGGACCACAGAGCACACAGCAAGACCCCCTGTATCAAAAAAAAAAACGAACACAGATTAGAAATTTATCATAATTCTTAGAACATAAGCTTGAAGCTACTAGCAAAGGAAGACACCACTAGTGGCACGTGTTGACAGTGCAGGGTGTGGAGATGACAGAAAATGCTACAGACCACTTTAAGGATGAACAAGTACAGTAATAATAGGACTGTGAGCCTAAGTTGTGCATCTTTGTGCACTGTAATTATGTTGACCTGTAATAAAAGAGTGCAACACTTCATGTGTGTAGTTATGGTCTCAAATTCTGAAGAAAACATTGAGAATACTCAAAAAAACTTTAGTCCAGTAAGGAGATAAAGATATTATATATTTTAGAAAATTTTTCATTTAATAGGCTTAAATACAGTCTTCTTTTTTCTTTCTTTTATTTCCATACAAGGCTGAGGTTTGAATCCAGGGTAATATTCATGTTAGACAAGAACTTTACTACTGAGCTACATCCACAGGCCTCTTTCTTTGAGATAGAGTCTCCCTGTGTATCTCAGCCTGAGCTCAAACTCCTTCTGCCTCTGCTTTCTTAAGTGCTGGGGTAGTGGATATGTACCACCATGACTGCATTTTACATATAGTTTTGCCATTAAAGAGTATGCTTATATCTTCTACAGCATTTAGTTCCCTGTTGATAAGTGATGTAATTTTCCATGCTTCACCTTCATTCTTAATAAAACAGAAACTGGACTGATGGCATCTGGTGTCCATCATTCTCTGTGTGACTATATGGCTGGAGTGGGCACCTTGGAGAAAAGTCTAGTGGAAGTGGAGTTACTCTGGGTTCGGATGGTGGACCATCTGGTAATGGTGGTTACGCAGAAGATTCAAAGTCCTCTGGTGGACCAGGTGACTGAACATGGTAATGTCCCATGGTTATTCCAGGGAATTTTTTCACAGCTATTGTGTGCTATGTACCAGCTTTGACTCTAAAAACTACACTGTAGCAGCCTTGGAGTTTTGCCATCAGGCTACCGCACAGCAAGAGCTCAGTGCCATAAGTGGCTTGGAGATTACATCCCCAAGGTGTCCATTGTTCTCTGGGTGACAGTGAAGACATGGGAAAGCCCTTTCTTAGGACGGATGAGGTATAAGTGATGCTCCAGATTTCCCAACACCATCAGGATGACTCTGAGACTTCTGATGTTGCCTAATATTGTGCTTCTACTTGTCTATCCTGATTTCTCACCACCCCTTCCTGGATCCTCACAGGGCTCTGCCCTAATCAAATGCCTAAAGACCAACATTTGCTTTCGGAGCTGCACCTGAAGAAACTGAGCTCACAGAACAGGAAGCAGAGGATTGATGGATGGAGGTGAATCCACATTTGTACTCAAAAGTCATTATTATTTTTCCTGCTTCATTTTAATGAATTCAAATGCTCTTAAGACCAGTCTTAAGCCCAATATTTGCATCTTCTCTAGAAATGAAAAATAAGATTAGAGGAGGTAACTGGTGGAGTTACAGGGGCCTAGTCTTACAGCCCTCCTGTGTCAACTGTGGCAGAATCTGGCTCCTATTACATAAGTGTGGAATCCCAGCCTCCATTGTAGGTATCCCACAGTCACAAGACACGTGGCCTCCACCAATCAGGCACCTGCCCTCAAGTTACAGGAAACCAGTAATGTGAAGTGAAGGTTCCACTTGGAATCCATTTTGTTGATGATGGTAGCCAGGGCAGCTCCCATGAAGGGTTTGGAAGTCTGTGGCTAAGTTTCTAAGAGAAGTACCTAATGTATAGCATGGGATTTTCACCTTCAGCCAGAAGAGTTGTCTCCACCAGGTCAGTATGGGCATGATCCTGACTTTGTGGCCCTTAGCCTATCTTTCCTGAGTACTTCAAGGTTTTCAACACCATTTCAAGAGCAATTTTTGTTAAAATTTGTTTGTTAAAATTATGTACTCATTAGCTATTTCTTGCAACTATGAAACCTAGAAAAATCTGTGCTGAGTCTTGGCAAGAGCCTAAGTCTCCTTTGCTGGTGTGAAAGCCAGAGGTTAAAGTCATGACTGAGCAATCACAGGTGCAGGCGTGTCTAGTAATACAATTCCTCTGAAATTTCCATTTGTTTATCTTGAGTGATGCTGTCAGTTCATAAGAAATGCCAAGATTATGGGTGTGTCTTGATCTTTGAGTCTTTACTTATATTTTGGGGCAGGGAGGTAGAATCAAGCCCATGGACAACTCATCAAGTGGACAAGTGTTAAATATAAGTATCTGATTGTTCCCTCTGCCAGGAGCTGTTTCCATAGTCTAGGAAGGCACTCTTGCCCTTTCAGGTCCCAATGGGACCTTCTAACCAGCGTCCAGTGGTAGCCGTCTGCTTCTCCTGCCCTATCTATCACACTTCCAAATGAGCACTTATAATTCTTTGAGGTTATTACTGGTCCTGCCACCCCTCCTCTGCTGTGCCCCTCCTACCCTTGAAGCTGGGATATGCAGTGCACAGCAACCACTATGCTGAAAATTGGTCTAATCTAGTGGACTTTTGCCTGAAATGTTAAAAATGAGCACAGGATTCCAGACTGAGTACATACATGCAAAGGAATTTAAACTCTCAGGTTGAGAACTGTTCCTGTATGTTGAAATGATATTTGATATATTGGTTAAATAAAACATTATTAAAATTCTTTCACCTGTTTCTTTTTGCTTTTTGTTTTTGTCTACTGGAAGATTTTAAAGCATACAAAGGCAGTAGCTGTAATGTCATATCCAGGGCTCCGTCACTCTGCTCCTACTCCAAGTCCTAGATGGTCTGGCTAAGAGAAAAGCCCATGAAAGTTTTCTTTAACAAAGCATGAGTTCTGAAAAATAACTCTTATTCTTTTCCCGAATGAAGATTAATTGAATTCAGTTTCTAAAAGAAGGTCTCCAGAGAAAGGCAAGGTCTGAGTCTCCTCCAAACCTGTGCAGAGGATTCCTGGACCTTGACCCAGACTTCACAGGTGCCCCTGACCTCAAGGACTAAAGGAAACCAAATTTTTCTCCTTTCCCCTTTTCTGCAGACATAGAAGTCAAGGTCACAAGCTTTTCATGGGCAGAGAAAGGTAATGGACAATTTTGATGAAAGCAGGATGATTCAAGCTTGCAAAGGTGGGTCCTCTGGGGAGGTGCTGAGCTGGTGAAGTGGGAAGGGAGAAAGAAACACAGGAAAAAGGAAGGGCCAGGACTTGGGAGAGGAGTGCCCAAAATTAACAGGAAAGGAGGAGCTGAAAGGATTGGAGTGGGGGCACAGGTTTGCCCATACAAGGAATAGCCTGGAGTAGGTGGCTGCCAGGTCTTTTATTCCCAGCAGGATAAAAGCAGGGCAGTACTGGCTGTGCTTGATTAGGTCTCTGCCCTGGTGCAGATCCAGATATAGCTCCAGCTCTGCTTCCCAGCTCACCATGGACTGGATCCTGCGACTCCTGCTGGCCACTTTAGCCACAGCCCTGGTCCTGAGCCCTGTGGCAATTTCAGACTCTATGATGGGGCATTGAGGAGGCCAACGTCAATGATGAGGAGGTGCAGCAGGTGATTGACTTTGTCCTCCAATTTTACAATGATGCAAATGATGACCTGTATGCCAGCCGAGCAGTGAGAGTGATGAGCGCCAAGCAGCAGGTGTGAGCACATCCCAAGGGCCTAATATGGGTGGGTTTGCCCAGTGGCATTGCACAGTCTTATTCCATCCTTACTCCCCTCCCTGGGCTACATTCCTCAAAACAACACTGGGGTTATGATGAACGTTATCTGGTGTGGTTTGGATGGGTACAGAACTTGAACATACTCATGTTTCTCATGCCCTTGGTAATTTTCTGTTACCCTGACATCCTTGGCAATCCTGGCCTAGGTTCTGTCCCCACCAATTTTTCTGGAACCAGTCCAGGCACGGCAGGTGGGCATCTGGCTCTTTAGACTGTTTCCAAGAGCCACAGACCAGAGGCACCAAGGGACCAGGTCAAGGTCAGGTTTAGGGCTTCTGTGTCTGTGTCAACTATTAACTATCTGTCCAGCATAGGAGAAACAGACTTCAAACATGGCTTCTTTCATTAAGTGATCTTTCAGCACTTTTACCCTTTCAGTTCTTATTCTGACACAAGTTCAGGGTTGCAGAGCACCTGCAGCAGTAAACCACGGCATTTTTATACTCTTTCTACCCACACTTCCAATGTTCATGCCTGACTATATTTACTAGTTCTGCCTCTATCTACATACATGTGAATCTGGACCTGTATGTTTATGACCATTCATTTTTCTGAACATTTCGAGAGTAAAACTTTGGTGTACATTTCTTGCAAACAAGGTCATTCACTCTACACACCCCAGACACCAGCTGAAAATCAGGAGTAGACATGACCACTCATAATTACCTCACCACAGACTCACTGGATTTGTTGGCATTCATTCATGGACACTCTGCATGGGCTGAACTTGCCACTCAAGTCCTCAGACACTTTCCATCAGGGGCACATCCTGCTATTTTCAAGACTTTGGTGCTTAAAAGTATCCAGCCAGTTTTGTTGTAGTAATGATGAGGTGTGGGTGAGGGATGAACTCCATGGATGAAGGGGACCCCAGAAGAGGATGTCACCTAGTGACATTGTAGTCATCTTAGCTTATGTCCTTTGTGTTGTCCACACCATGAATTACCATAATGACATTTTTCCCAGACTGTGTGGCCATCGTTAAGTGACACCTGATTGTGTGAACTATTGCTCAGTTTGGATTGACCTGTTGTGTCACCAAGATTAGATACAGATCATGGGGCAGGTCCCCTCCAGAAATCCTCACAGCAGGAGCCACCAACATGTCCTTAAAGATGCTTACTTCCTCTGTTAGCAGCCCAGGAGAATTCCTTGGTAGCAACTTCTAGGGGATACCACCTTGAGTTCTGGGCAATTGAGTACCTGCTTGGTAGAAAGGAGCACCCAGAACCATGACTGTGGCAGTCAGTGAGGAGTTAGCCCTCAACAGAGAAGGAGGGAAGTTAGCCAGGAGGCATGAAACCGGGCTGCCAGGCTCCAAATCTGACTCTGAAGGAAGACGGGAATTTAGAGCAGATGGCCAGAGTCACAATGCAGAGCAGCACACAGCAACACAGTAAAAAAATGGTATGCAGCACACCCATGAGGACAGCTCCTTTCTGTCTCCTGATCAAAATTCAGGTGAATAGAGACCTTCCCCATTTCTCCTGCTGCAGCCATCATCTGTCATCACCTCCTTTGGACATGGCATACACTTCATGTATGCTATGGTCATTGCCGGCCTGTGCACCTCTCAAGTGTGACACTAACTTGGAGGGAGTCATAGGACATTATAGGCAATTAATCCATGACTCTTACTTTATAAATGGGAAATCAGTACCTTTTGTTTCAGGTTCCTGGGAGCAAGTTGTAGAGCCCTAGACCTATCCCTTGCCCTGTGTTTGTTCTTATATCTGAAAAACTGGGTCTGGGTTAACCTGTGCAGAAAAAAGGGTTAAATTTTATTCTTTAATGTCAATGTAAGACACTCAGGTGTATAACACACATGAGAAATAGTCCCATCAGGAATCACATTGAAGGAGGGGGCGTTTGAGGGGCAGACTTCCTTAGTGTCATGAAATAATGATGTGTGTGAAGCACCACATGTCCTGCTGTGGAATTAGGGAATAGGAAGATTGTGCAAGTGGAGTGAATGGATTTGCTATGGGCTGAGCACTGGAGACTGTAGTTTTGTTGGAGTTTAATCATCAGACCATAGCCTTCAGACAATAGGCCAGTATCCCTGCCTATGAACCAAATGCAGCATGATTTAATAGTTCTGTGCTGGGGCCCCAGAGCCTTGATGTTGTGCTCAGACCAGCCCTGCTGTCCTGGAACAGGGAGCTGTTCATTTCCCTCCAGTCTGATGGCTCCTGGCACTGTGATTTCTTTTCCTGAGTCCAGTGAAGGGGGTTAGTCCCTGCCCACTATTTTCCTGATTCTCTTCTTACTTTGCAGCAGGTGAGCCCTTGTAAGAGTTGCTCAGAAAAAATTAAGTTGCAGTGGATCTTGCAGCCAGCCCTTCTGAAGGGATGGCTGTATGCTCCATGGGTGATAGTTTTGTCAGCTCAGGAATGCAGAAAAGAACCCAGACTCAAATTAACTCCTTGCATGTGAACTTGACCACAGTGTTGTACATGAATCCCACTTTTTCACTCTAGGTCGTTGCTGGAATACTGTACTACTTGAAAACTGAAATAGGTAGAACAACATGTACCAAATCCCAGTCTGAACTGTCTGACTGTCCCTTCAGTGAACATCCAGATCAGCAGAAGGTATGAGCCTGATGTGGCCATGGACCAGTCATGGAGCAGACGATTGTGAAAGCCTGTGTGCTTATGTGCATGTGTGAGGAGAGTAAATGTGCAAGTGTTTTGGTACATGTAGACTGGTGCATGTGTGCACGTGTGTGGGGAGGTGAATGTGTGTACATGTGGGCAAGAGTGGTAGTTCATGAATAGATGCACATAGAAAATCTCCCAGAGTTGGAGTGCTGGACATGAGGTGCTAGTTGCTGTGGGGACCCTGGGAGGGATAAGAAGCTCAGATGGATCCCAACCTATCCCTATTCCAGAGTCACACTGAATGGATCAGAGCTCTATAGGTAGCCATAACCCTTAGGGGCAACCCCTGTTTCAGCCTCTCTCTTGATCAGGCTGGTTCTTCTTATATCCTGGATTTGGGTTGTAGCAGGACTCCCCTTGCTACTGGTCCCCACTCCCCTTTCTGGTGTGTTTCATACAACCCCACTCCTACCTCTGACCCTTGTGCTGAAGGAGAGTGAGCTGGGTAACAATGAGCATCTGTCACCTACCTGCCCCTCTAGGGCTCCTGTATAATTGCACAGCTGCTCCTTACTGGGCTGTGCTGGGCATAAGGACATGGTAATTTCTGAGCTGGGAAAAGGGACACAGGCCTCCTGGTGGATTGTAGCAGTGGAAGGGGTGATAAACTATAGACTTGGACTGAGTGTTTCAGTACTCAGCAGGAGCATCGAAGACCAAAAGTCTCAAGTCCATCAATTTGCACCCTCATTCATGGCATCTCATGGCTAGATCCTATCCCTTTGAACTGTAACACACACTGACTGTCCCTCTCTCTTCCCCTTTGTAGAGAGAAATATGCAACTTCCAGGTCCACAGTGTGCCCTGGGAGCATGAAATCTCTGTGAAAAATTACAGTTGTCAAAGTACCTGAGAGTCTGTCCAAGTCTGGGCCACTCCAACCACCCTTAATTAGCACACCTTCTTTGTAGTGCACCAATCTTCAGATGAGAGCCCTGGCCCTGCAACACCAGGAGACCAGTAGAGGAGGCTTCTCCAAGACTCACCTACCCGCCTCTCCCTGTTTCTTTCGTCCCTTTGTGCACAGCCCACATGGAAGCTTCTACCCAGCTCAATAAAAGATTGCACTCAGCATCATATGTGTTGTTTGTTGTCTCAGGAAGGCAGGAGGAGACATTAAGGAGATGGGATCCGGGATTCACACCATATATATTTACCTGGGCACGTGGAGTCTGCCATCTTTCGTGATGTCCCTGTCTTAGCATAACAAGCAGAAAGTATTTGGGGACACACATGACCTGCTGACAGACAAGGGAGAGGAGGGAGCTATTCTGCTGTTCTGGCAGCTTGGGAGTTGCTTTGAAAAGGAATCAGGTAGCATGGAGGTGCTGGACAGTACCCATAACTGGGGCAATCCTCACCCATGTGTGCAGGGACCACCTGTCATTTCTGAGATTTCCCAAAGACTTCATAAATGATGACTTATGTTTACTTCATCCTCAAAAGATTAAGTACCTGCATGACACAAAGGCTGAAATTAGGTTCAAGTGTAACTCATGGGGGAAGATACAAACCAGCAGTCAAGCCAGATGACATAACACAGAGCCAGTCCAGTACCTCCTCTAATGTACCATGGGAAGCTGTGTCCTGTGGAGAGTTTACAGGTGGATGTTCCCATACTTTCTCTTCCCTTGGATGTAAAATAGCTTCTTGGTACAGCTTCATAATAGGGAAGACATGATCGTAAGATGGATTCTTGTCCATTTTAATCAGTAACGACCTCTGGTATTCTATCATTACTAACACAGGGATGTGTTAGTGACTCAGAGGGAGACCACATTCTATGTGTTCACAGCACATGCTCATCCTGTCTTTCCACCTGCCACTCAGGGCTGAGGGGAGAAGCTCTGTTGGCTGTTTCGCTGTGACAGTGCTCTCAGACATCTCCCAGCTCAGAGCAGTATTAGGGAAGCTCTCCTGGGGCCACTGCCATGAACACCAAAGGTGAAATGGTAAATGGGACACATTCAGAGGACTCAGGTCAGCATGCAAGGAGTACTGGAATTCAAAGTCACACCCAGTATGGAGGGCAGAAGAGTTTCTATCTTATTTCCCATTTCCTCTCTGCTTTGTAGGTGGAGCTCTCTCAATCCTGCCCTTATAACAAAAGTCCTTGGAATGAGGGAAGTGAACCACCTTGGAGGCTGTGATCATGGAGATTAAGCCCAAGCACTGCATGATTTTATCTGACATTGTTTACTTTAAAAGTTAGATGTAGGTTATAATGTATGTACTGTACAATTAGTACAGTATCCAGCTCAGTGGAAACACTCAATATATTTTAGGGTTTTTTTTCACTGATGTCATTATAATACTGAGGTGGTTTTAAAACATGGTCTTGGAATTTTTTGGCACTCCTAGAACTGAGGAGCAGGGAGTTTTTACCTTCCTCTTGGTAACAAATGGTTGTGTAACTGCCTCAAGCCAAACCACTGAGGAAGTAGCGACATCCAAAATGAGGCCAGGAAAGGCCCTGAGCTGTTGCTGAACTCTCTTTGAGCCTGGGCCTTAGGGTCCTTGTGAATAGTTCACCGTCCTCATGGACACAGTGTTTTTCAGGACACACTGAGATTCTACAGGTGAGAGCACAAGCTGTGCTCCCTGCCAAGGCTAGCATTGTGTGTTGGCAAATTGAGTAAGCCACTGTGGAAGTCCTCTCCAACTGTAGCTCCCTAGTGACCTCAGCAGCAGTTGGCATCTATCTGCAGCATTGTTTTATAACTTTCAGTATGAAATTTTCATGTTATGCAATTTTTGCACTTGTAATATTATGTCAATGATGAAAATATTTCAGATTTTAGTGCATTTTGGATTTTGGATGTTGGATTAGTAATTTTTAATGCTCATGCTGTGCATGAAGGTGAGAAGACATGAGCTCTGGGCCGCTTACACCATTTGTGAAAGAAGTCAAGAGACAGGAAGGAACAGCCAGTTAAATCATGTGAATCTCTGCGATAGCAGAGCCTGACCCCAGTTCTTCTAGTCTTCTTGATTTGAGACCCTCATGTTCTACTTTTCCACAGAGCCAAGGTGGATTTTTGGCACCCTAGATTTCCCTGTCCTCTGTGATAGAGAGGACACAGAAACTCATTTTCTTCTCACACCTACAGGCACATGATGTTTCTTGACTATTCATAGGAGTATTACACATAATAGCAAAGAAATAAAAAATAACTCAAATATCCATCAATAGTTGAACAGATAAACAGAATGTAGAATATCCATAAAGTAAAATGTTACTAGAAAATTTTAATAAGTACATACAGAAATATTGCAGATTGTTCTTCAACAACAAAATAATGGAAATATCATGATAAATAAAATTTGTTTTCCAATCACTTGTAAAAGTTATGCTCCCATTCCAATGCTGTCTGTGAAGTGAACAAAAGCATTATTAAAAAGCAATATACAAATTTGAATTGAAGATACTTTAGTTGCTAAAAATTGTTAAGTATCATTTTAATCTTCAGAGAATTGTAACTTTTTTAATTTGGAGGGTTTTTCCTGGATGTTGATGACTTTTGAGTGCTCAGGGTGATGGTTGTTGAAGTTTGGGGTGGCTGTGGAAATTTCCTAAACTAATACAACAATGACATTTGTCCCTTTAATTGACTTTGCCTTTCCTGAAATATTCCTCTATAGCATGGGGTGCAGTTTTATACCATTTTACCCACAATAGAACATTTTTCTAATTTGAAGTCAGTCTTCTCAAACTCTGCCATCACATTACCAGCTAACTTTATGGCACATGTCATCCTCTGTTGTCTGTTGTCTTTACAGTGTTCATAGCATATTCACCAGGAGATTCCACCCCAAGAACTCACTTCCAGAACTAAATCCTCATCTGTTTCGGTTTTATGGTGATTAGGTTTTGGCCTTTTGATTTGGATTAGTTTTGTGCCTGTTCTTAATCAGTTTAATGTCTATTGCAGCTCTATGTGAAGAAAATATTTTGGTTTTTTGCAGAGCTGGTAAGTGGAGTGTTACTTGTTCCACTCATTTTACACTTCAATTTGGTATTGTACTACCTCTAGGAATGATATTTTAAAAATAAATGAGAAAAGTTGTTTCTTGTAAAATTGGAGTAATTCAGACTCAGTTCATCTACAGGTTCCATTGCTAATTCTACATCTGCTGCTGTTCCATACATGTGGTGACTTCTTCCACAGAAGTCTTGAGTGCCCCTCTCCCCCAATTACTCATGTCACTTAGAATGCACTTCTACCACACTTCTGTTAATGTTGCTATTTTACCTCCTCCCTTAAATTTTGAATGTTCTTTTTGCTTTGAGGTACTAATAGTTGAAGCCAGGACCTCATGCTTCCAAGGCAAGCACTTTACCACTGGAGCTGCACCCTCAGCCAGTGGTGAATGTTCTTAATGGTATCTAGAATAGTAAATCCTTTCCTGAAGGTTTTCAGTTGACTTTGTCCAAATCCATCAGCTGGATCATTGACGAGAGAAACCACAGCCTTACAAAATATATTGCTTAAATATTAAGTTAAAATTACTCCTTATCCATGGGCTATAGAATAAATCCTGTTTTGATGACAACAGCATTCATCTCCTAGTACACCTCCACTAGAGCCCTGGGATGACCACATACCTTACCAATAAACAATAATATTTTGAAAGCAATATGTATCTAAGTAGTATGTCTCAACAGTGGGCTTAAAATATTCAGTGAATAATATTTCAGTAAGTGGTTTTCTTATCCAGGGTGTGCTGTACCTGTTATAAAACACACATAAAAGATAACTGGTATAATTCTTAAGGGCCTTAGCATTCTTAGAATTGGTAAAGAAGTATTGGTTTCAACTTAAAGTGACCAGCTGCATTAGCTCCTAGTAATAGAGCCAGCCTGTCATATGATGCAAGGAATTGACTTCTCTCCAGCTATGAAAGTCCTAGATTACTTCTTCTCCCAATTTAAGCCTGTTTAGTGAATATTGAAAATCTGTGGCTCACTGGAGCCACCATGACAGTGCTGTCAGCTAGATATTCTGCACAACTTGCTATGGCTTCTAGGTCAATACCTGCTGCTACATGTGCACTTTGTGTCACACAGATGGCTTCTTTCCCTAAACCTCATGAACAAACATGTGCTCACTTCAAACTTTTCTTTTGCAGTGTCCTCACCTCTCTTCATAGTGTTGAAGAGAGCAAGGAGATGTCCGTGGACTAGGCTTCAGATATGGGAGTGCTGTGATTGATATGATCTATCCAGACCATTAGAACTTTCACTGTATCAGCAATAAGGTTGCTTTTCTGGCACCAGAGGCCCAGATTCTGGTCTTTCTGTTCACTGATGTGCCTTGTATACTGATCACTTCTAACTTTGATATCAAGTGAGAGATATACTACCCTTTCTTTCACTTGAACATGTAAAGGCCACTGCAGTTCTATTAAGTGGCCTAATTTCAATACTGTTGTACATCAGGGAATAGGGAAGCTTAGCAGGAGGGAGACAGATGGGAAAGTGACTGATTTTGGAGCAGTGAGAACTCACACAACATTATTGAATTCATAGTCCTATTTGGTTGTGGCTCATGGCACTCCCCAAATAATTACAATAGTAACATCCAAAATTACTGTTCAAAAGATAAGTGGGCATGATGGTATTGGCCTGTAATCCCAGATCTTGGAAAAGTGAGGAAGAAGGATGATGAGCTCAAGGCCAGCCTGGAGTGTATAGTGACCACATCTAAAAAAACTGACAAACAAAACATCAAAACAAGAAACTAATCACAAATCACCATAAGAAATGTACTAATTATAAAAAGTTTGAAATATTGCAAATACTATCAAAATGTGACAGAGAGGGATGAAGGGAACATACGCTATTGGAAAACA